TAGAGGCAAGTACTTCTTGGGTTTCCTCCGTAGACTCTTCTCTTTCTTGTGGGCCCTTTCAGTTGATTAATGTTGCTGTGTGTGTGTTGTTGTTGTTTTTCCTGGTGATCCTTTTAACATGTAAGACAGGTCATAGCACTTAAAATTCTCCAGCGGCTCCCGATCTCTCCCAGGGTGAACAGGACGGACGTGACTCTGGCTCACTGGACCCACGAGGATCAGTCCTCATCTTCAGTCCCATTACCTCTTGACCTTGTTCCTCCTGCTGCTGCAGAGGCCAGCTGGTCTGTCTGCCTCCAGGTGTCTCCCGCCTCAGGGTCTTCTACCTGGAACATCCTCCCCTCCCCACCCCACTCCATATCCCCAGGGCTCGCTCCTCCTCTGCCTTTACCTCTTTGTTCAAATATCGCCTCAGAGTGACCTTCTCTGTCCTTCGGCTTCTTGATGTTTTCGTTTTTCTCCATAGCATCTACCACTTTCCAATCTACCCGATCGTTTATTTCTTCATTTTACTCACGGACTGCTCCTCCTGCTCTGCTCCCTGCTCCCTCCCAAGGGGGGCTTCCTGAGGGCAGAGATTATTTTCTGGCTAAAAGAGTATCTCGCACATGGGGAGTATTTAATGGATGTTGGTTGGATTTGTGTTATTTGTTGTTGTTTGTTTTGCTTATCATGACATCAAGGGAGAGAAAGTCTTTGAGGACAGTGCTCCTGCCTCTTCAATTCTTTTCACTTAATCTTCTGTACAATCTACTTATTATATCTTGATGAAGGTCAGTCTTGTTCCTAGGAAACCTGCTCCAGTGGGTAGCAAGCTCATAAGGAGAATTCCTTCCTATTTATTCAAACGATATCTTTATCCATAGCTAGCTCAGGTTTCTCTGTTCAGTGGAGTAACACAGAAATACATACCCAAACAAAATATCCTTCACTTCTCTGCATTGCAAGGTGGTGAGGTATACTAGGAGGGGAAAAATACACTATTGCTATGCCTCCCTTACTAGGGTTCCATTCTCAGAATGTCCACAGGAGGGCCCTAGGGCCACTCCTCCGTTACTAGGGTGCTGTTCTCAGAATATCCACAAGAGGGTACTATTGAGACTAAATTTTTATTAATGTCATTGCCTCTTTATTAATAATTAATATCCAATATTAAATTATTTGTAGTCCCTCCCTCACCAACTGCTTCTGTGGTATTCCCCATGTCATCAATGGCATCTCAGTTTCACCATTTGCATAAGCCAACAACCATGTAGATGGCTTTGCCCACTCTTTTTGCTTACTAATCCATATCCAATTCCTGAATAAATCTATAGGCTCTACCTTCAACATTTACCCCCAAATTAGCTTTTGTCACCACCTTCACATCAGCTTGGTCTAAGCCAGTGGTCGGCAAACGGCGGCTCGCGAGCCACATGCGGCTCTTTGGCCCCTTGAGTGTGGCTCTTCCACAAAATACCACGTGCGGGCACGCATGTACAGTGCAATTGAAACTTCGTGGCCCATGCGCAGAAGTCGGTATTTTGTGGAAGAGCCACACTCAAGGAGCCAAAGAGCCGCATGTGGCTCGCGAGCCGCCGTTTGCCGACCACTGGTCTAAGCCATCAACATACTAATGTATTACTGGAACCAGTTATATCAGAACAGAACAAATTTCTCTATCACAGAACAATAAATAAATATTCCATAATAGTTTTGATAGTCTGTGTTCACCCTGCATGTAAAACATTATGGCAAGTGATGGCATTAACACATCTCCAGGGACTTCCCATAAAACATTTGATTTCTAAAATATTCATAACAATAACATTTTACTTACACATATTTAACCCAGGCCAGTCTGTGTGCACGTTTTAATTTGACAAATTCCTGTGCAACTCCTACTATCATGACACCTCAAACAAACTAATTATTTCTAGCATCTCTCTTGTTATAAAGTAAAAGAATAAACCTTTGGGCTTCTCCAAAATTTCCCTCTAGGAAATCTCAAAGATAGATTTTGTATAAAATATATCTTGAAATTTAATTTTAAAAAAAATATTTCATGTCAAGCTCTGGGAAGGCAATTTAAAATGTTGTCAAAGGAAATTTAGGGACTTAAGCCAGGATCATGGGTGCCTGAGACACTATTTAATAAATGTGACAATATAACTTCTAAAAATAAGCATAGGAAAAAATGGCCATCTATGAACCAGTAAGTACTACACACATAATCTGCCAGCACTTTGATCTGAGACTTCAGATCCAAGTCTTCAGAATTGTGAGAAATGAATTTCTATTGTAATTAAAAAAAATAAATATGTAAGCAAGCTCAGAAGAAGCACAGAATACTAGCATTATAGTAAAGAACCTTAGGTCCTTCATAAGTGAGAACCTTTGCTTTTCTTAAACAATCAAGAGTATAATAAAGTCAATATAAAGCCAAAAAAAAGTTATTTTGTAAGACAGAGACTCTTTGCCACATAAGCAGATTACACAGACGGCAAACAAACGTTGATATTATAGGTAAAGGCACTAATCAATAAAACAAAGAAGCAAACCCAGCAGAACTGAGAAAATTTTGTTACAATTATCAACATTTCATAGCTTCTACGGAGACTCAAGTATCATAAATCAAAGTAAATAAATTCACTTTCAGAGCTTTTTGCTTAATTATGCTCTTTCGTATTCTGGCACAAACTGACATTTTTACGACAGTAGTTCTCTTTTAGGGTATCTGTAATGTCAAAATAATACTAATGTAATAAGAATACTAGGAGGATATTAATTTGAGTATGCAATGTGTGTATCATTGCTATCTTCAAGTAAATCAATAACTTCAATTTCCCAATTTCCAATACAGTAAATATAGATAGTTATAACTCACATAGACAAAGCTCTTTGGAATACTTAATAGGTCCTAAAAGTATAAAGTGTCCCAGAGACCAAACAGCCTAAAGAGTGTTGCTTTAGAACAAAACTACTATTTTTCCTTGAAAATTGAAAGCAGAGTTGTATTTCTCCATTACTATTACTCTTGGTATAGTTTCAACCTCTTGTTTATAGCTTTTTAAAATATATATTTTTATTGATTTCAGAGACTAAGGGAGAGGGAGAGAGAGAGAGAAACATCAATGAGGGGAGAGAATCATTGATCAGCTGTCCCCTGCACGCCCCACACTGGGGATTGAGTCTGCAACCCAGGCATGGGCCCTGACCGGGAATCGAATATCGTACACAAGTATCTTTTAGCAGCCTGGCATCACTCATGAATACACATAACACAGCTTTCTGCAACTATATTGTTATGGACTAAATGTTTGTGTTTCCCCCAATTCATACACTGAAATCCTACCCGCCCCCCAAAGTGTTGGTAACAAGAGGTGGGGGCCTTCTGGAGGCGATTAGGTCATGAGGGTGGAGCTCTCATGAATAGGATTAGTGCCCTCATAAAAGAGACCCCAGCGACGTCACTCACCCTTTCAACCATGTGAGGACACAGCGAGAAAGCGGCCACCTAGGAGCCTGGACACCGAACCTGTCAGGGCCTTCATCTCGGGCTTTCCCGCCTCCAGAACTGTGAGAAAGAAAGTTTGTTGTTCAAACCACTGAGTCTACGGATGTTTGTACAGCGGTCTGAACAGACTAAGACATGCATCTCTTACATATTCTTAAAAGGACAAAAAATGACTACCCAAAGCTATAGCATCTCTATAATAAAAGTAAAAACCAAAAGTATGTAATAATTATCCATTAATTCATTCAACTGAATATCAGTCTAAGGCTGGATAGGGAAAAGTGAGCTGGAAAATTATAGACACAAGAATCAAAGACAGCTTTAAGGTTTGGGATTTAGGTGGCTCCAATTTTGATGATAAATGACAACCAAAAATTTTTAACCTTTATATTTTAAGATAGAGCTATCTATCTATCTATCTATCATCTCTTTCTATCACCTATTTATTCTTACAGTTTTTAAAGCTCATTCTTTTAAAGTTTCATTTCATCAAGTTGGACTTAGCTTCCAGGATGTTGCTTCATGGATGTACCACTATATTTTGAAATGCCCAATGTCAGTAATATGTCATAGAGATAAAAATGCCTACTCAGGAATCCCAAAACAAACAAACACATAAGAAAAACTTTAAAAAATTTCCATCATTTTATTGTCTCCATTTTTATATTTGTAGAAAGGAAAAGCTAAGAAATAAGAACTTGAGGTGGGTTTAAGGCCATTTATTCACAGGATCCACTCTCAAAGACCTATGATATAGGTTCTTTTTTTTTTTTCTTAAAGCTCTCACCTATTTTGCAAAAAAAAAAAAAAAAAAGATGTCATTTTGTTAGAAAACAGTAATACAGAAAAATTGCTATAGAAAGAAAGTATATTCTCCCTCCATAACTTTATCATGCTTTAAAAGAAAGCCTTACTAGCCCCGCTGGAGTGGTTCAGTGGTTGAGCGTCAACCTATGAACCAGGAGGTCATGGTTTGATTCCTGGTCAGGGCACATACGTGGGTAGGGGGAGTGCAGGAGGCAGCTGATCCATGATTCTCTCTCATCATTGATGTTTCTATCTCTCTCTCTCCCTCTCCTTTCCTTTTTGAAATCAATAAAAATATATATTAAAAATATAAAGCCTTACTAGCAGAGCGCTCTCTTCCCCAACGCATACCCTAAATTGGTGTGTTCATGTACAGGAAGTTTCTCTCCTTCAGCTCGCAAGGGAAATCAGTGACTTAAGAGATAGAATGGAATTAAGAACTAAATCCCACTTTTATACTAAGAACATTATACTCTCCTCGGTAGAGAATGCAAATGCTTAGAGCATAAATTAATTTACTATTAAATAGTAACAGAAAGTTGCCCATCGTTGCCCCTGACAATTATCTTGAGGACAAATTCAGTGTGTGGCTTTACGTCGGACTCACTTTTCCATTCTTATTCCATTCTTAACTCACCCTGTTCCATTCAGGATTACTTTACAGCACACCACACACTCTTTTCCTAACTTTGCCCGGAGTTGGCACCAAGCGAGTGGAAATGAAAATATCTTTCACGTCAGTCTGTCTTGCCTCACAACATTCTCGAGCTGTTTTCCCCATTTTGGCATTTCAAGGGCAGTTCTGTCCTCTTAAGGCTGCCTAGGTTTCCGAGGAAGAAGTGCCTGCGGAGTTGATCATCAAAGAAAGAAAAGAGAGAATGGAATTCACCTGTGCTGAACAGGTGACAGACGAGGACACTCCAAGGTCAAACCATGGGTAGTTCAAAAGTTCCTCTGACCGTGTGTTTGATAGAAAACCCAGACAGAAATGCCCTTCGCCCCAGAAAATTGTTCTTATGGGCTTTGAGTTTGCATCGTAAGGTTATTTTTATAGCATCTCTGTTGGTTTTCAATTGCCATAAATAGAGGGAAAAAAAACCCAACAAACCACTAAGTTGAGAAACTGGAATGATAATTTGAGCAGCGTGATGAGTGGGTAGGGTATGGAATAAAAATGCCAGTTCTTCATATAGAAAAATGTCCTGTTTCAGAAAAACAGAACTTTGGTGGTTCTAAAAAAAAAAAAAAGTCATTTCAGTGCCGCTTGCTTTGTTCAACTACACAGTGCAGGTGTAGCAATCCTAATTCCTCAAATATCTAATGCGCTCTCAATTGACAGAAAAATATGTAATTAGGTGTGCATAATTTACTTGGAATGAAATGAGGTTCCTCTTTCATTTATCTTCTGTGCCCATTGTAGTGTGGAAAATGCCAGTTTTTTAATAGACTTAAGAAAAAAAAAATGAGGTTTCCTTGTATTGGGTCCTAATACAATTGCATTCGTGCTGGAAAAGAATATGCACAGCGTTTCAATGGAGACTTTTAGAAAAGACCTGTGTCTCACTCAAAGAACGTTTTTGTTCCTATAGAAAATCAGGTGGTATTTCTCCTCTTTCTGTTAACGGGTAACCCTCTGACCGAAGGGTGGCCAAGGAAAGCTATGGCAATTCCCTATCACTACCCCTCAGCGAGGAGCTAGCGCAGTAAGTGGACTGGGATTCCCCCCAGAAAAAGGAAACTTTCTCTAATACTACACAAACATGCCATAAAATAGTCACTCACAGCGTTAAGACTGCTCAAACCAACATGTGTCTTAGACAGATGAGAAGTTATCAAGCCCTGATCTAAAAGAAAAATAAAACCAGACTGTGGGACTCCTTCGTGCCAGGCTGTATGCTACACGTGTCCCTTGTACTATGTCATTACATTCTCATAACAACCCTATGAAATAGTTACCATCATTATTTCCATTTAACAGACGAGGAAACTGAGGCTGAGAGATGTGCACTTACTTCCCCAAGATCAAACAAGCCATTATGTGTTGGAATTGTGATTTGAATCTACATTTTGAAAACCACTTTATTGCCCTGGATCCCACACGAAGTCCTCCAGGCTTCAGGCGTTATTTTTTTTTTTTAAATATGTCTTTTTATTGATTTCAGGGAGGAAGGGAGAGGGAGAGAGACAGAAACATCAATGGTGAGAGAGAATCATTGATTGGTTGCCTCCTGCACGCCCCCTGCTGGGGATCGAGCCCCCAACCGGGGCAGGTATGTAAAGGAAATTTAATTTTAAATTCCTTACTGTCTTGTATGTCCAAAAGGAAAGAAAGATGGTGGATTATTTTTTTTAAGGTTAAATTTAAGAGCCAGGATCACATAAATTCTGTGTTTGGGGAGTTCCTTCTTCTCAATGTCCTGAACCTCTAATCCAGCGGTTCTCAACCTGTGGGTCGCGACCTACCCCTGTGGCGGTCGAACGACCCTTTCACAGGGGTCGCCTAAGACCATCCTGCATATCAGATATTTATATTACGATTCATAACAGTAGCAACATTGCAGTTATGAAGTAGTAACGAAAATAATTTTATGGTTGGTTCACAACATGAGGAACTGTATTTAAAGGGCCAGAAGGTTGAGAACCACTGCTCTAATCGGCGGTTTCACTAGTTTACAGAAAGGTAAATGAGGCATACAAGTGCCATCTAGTGGTAGAAGAGGGCCACCACAGGAATGAAATCTTTATAGAAAACATTTACTTGTTTATTTTTCACTTGCTGTTTATCATGATTAGCTAATCAAAATGGGCCGTGTTGTAACTGGATTGGAAAATAATGTTGTAGTCTAAAACAAGATTATTTGATCATTGGCTTAAGAAAATGTGGGGTCAGATAAAAATGGATTATAGACAAAGGGCTTTCTAAATATGAAACCTTTGAAAATGTCACATCAGGAACTTAACATCAAATTGTACTTTGGAAGGAACCTTAAAGCAACATTTATTGACGTTTTTAGAGACCGTTGAGAGGTGTAAATGAGGAAGAGGCTGAAATCCTGAAGTTAACAGTATTCTACCAGAATCCTCTCTTCTTCCTCTTTACCTAACTCCTACTTAACCTTCAGATCTTAATAGAGATGTGACTTCCTCTGGTATGGAAAATAATACAATAATTAATAAATAATAATATGAGAAGAATGTTTCCTCGCTTTTTCCAGTGTCTAGAGGCCACCTGAATTCCCTCCTCCACCTTCATAGCCAGCAATGGTGGGTTGAGTTCTCACATAACATTACTCTCTCTCTTTTCCAATTCCCTCTGCTACTTTTAAGGACCCTTGTAATTACACTGGTTATTGATTTCAAAGAGGGAGGGGGAGGGAGATAGAAACATCAATGATGAGAGAGAATCATTGATCAGCTGCCTTCTGCACACCGCCTACTGGGGATGGAGCCCGCATGGGGCATGTGCCCTGACCTGGAATGATACTGGTTCATAGGTCAACACTCCTGGTTCATAGGTCAGTGCTCAACCACTGAGCCACTTCGGCTGGGCACGTAATCCTCTTTTTCCATGTAAGGGAACAGCCACAGTTCCAGGGACCAGGTTGCGGACATCTTTGGGTGGACCAGGGTCATTATTCTGCCTATTGTAGAGGAACCGTGAAGTCTGTGGGGAATACTGGCAAAGGGATCCCCCAGATGAAAGGAAGGGGCAGGGGCTTATGGGCACAGTTTTTCAAATGCGAGTGTTAGAGGTATCACTACAAGCTACCTATATATATTACTAACTCACATTGATCTTGGCAGACACTAAAGCCTCTGGATGTTTTTTACATGGTTAAACCAGAATCCCTCCTATTTTGTACTCTTGCAGTTTTATTTTTCAATTTGAACAAATGGAGGGATTTTCACATGTTTCTATTAAATGTTGCTTTACATTTTAGCTTAGAGTTTCAAATATTCATATAATTTTGTTTCCAGGTTCAGTTCTTCGTCATTTTTTTAATTTTATTGATTTTTTACAGAGAGGCAGGGAGAGGGATAGAGTTAGAAACATCGATGAGAGAGAAACATCGATCAGCTGCCTCCTGCACACTCCCTACTGGGGATGTGCCCGCAACCAAGGTACATGCCCTTGACCGGAATCGAACCTGGGACCCTTGAGTCCGCAGGCTGATGCTCTAGCCACTGAGCCAAACCAGTCAGGGCAATATATAGGCTTATTTTTCAACCTCTGATTTGACCAGAATGATCAAATTATGACCTCACCTATATAATTTATGAAATATGATAAACAAAAATTTGGCTGGGATTATCCAACTAACTTTGAGTTTATCTAATTAAAACTATATTGAGCTCTTATTTTAGACTCTCATCCACAAATATCATGAAAGACTGGCGCACATGTTTTGCTGAAATTAATTTATATCATGACTACACAATTCCCATTTTCATTCAAAGATAAAATTTTTAAAAAAGAAGCATAATATACTTATCTTTAGGTAGTTTGGTTCTTAGTGACCACCAAACTTTCTTATAACTAACTGTTCATAAAATATAGTTAATTACGTACTCTGGAATTTCACTTTTCCGTTTTAAAGTTTTTAGTGTCTACCTTTTACACAATTCTTAAAAGCAGGTGATCTTTCATCTTTTTCATATTTTACAGTTTCTCTGAACTTAGCAATGGGTCTTAGGTTACCTGTAAGCAGCTGTGGGATGTAATTTGTGCCTGGAACTCATGAACTTCCTTGAAACAGATAGGTGTTTGCTTACTGTCTCCTCACCTATCTCGAGTTTCAATTCTCTTTCTATGCTGTTTCACCTTTACTACTTTAAAGTCCATTTTCCTTTCTGAGTAGGGAAAGAACACACAAATAGTCTAGCCTCCTTTTTGGCTTTTTCATTATATCTTAGACCAGTGTTTCTCAACCTTGGCTGCACATTAGAATCACCCGGGAATCTTTTTAAAATCCTGATTTCTGGGCCTCATCCTCCGGAAATTCTGTTTCTTTGTTACTAGGTGGGGCCACAA